CTCCGGTACAAGCAAACTCAGGTGCCCATACTCTGGGTGAAATCCTGGCCCTATGGAAGTTAATGAGAATTTTGCCATTGATTTTGTTGGATCCAGGATTTCACCCTTTTTTGTGTGTGTGGCTCCACCTAACTTAGTTACCCAAAAATTAAGTACTCCCTCAGCAAGCCAATGAAAAAAGTCACATTTCTGTGCAATGATGGACTTATCTCCCGGTCATGTTTTCATATAAATGAGATCTTATAATTTTACAGTGAAGGAAACAGTGTATTGAGCATTTTAAAACTGACTTTTCTAATTTGGGTGATCACCTGGAAACAGGAGCAATAATACAGGGGTGCTTTTGGTCACACCTGCTTTACTTATAAATATTTACATGGCTGCATTTATACCCTGGCCAGTTCTGGTAAATGTGTGCCTATATTAAAGGGGTGCGCATTCTTTTGGTAAAACATTAGCAGAACAGTTAGGGAAGTCGCATTATGCAGTCTGTGCTTCCCTGTGCTTGGTTGGGGGAAGGGTGTACTTTAACTAGAGTTAAGGTTAGACTGACCTCAAAGGAAAGAAATGTTGTCGGTTTAAGAAAGGAGGAGTTAATGTCAGTTCAGATTATGCAGACGACAATAAGTAATTTACTGGACTGTTTTAAAAACAAGGACTCTCTGCTTTTATTTGAGGCTAACCTGTGTCTTTGGTCATTGCAGTAAGAAACTGAGTAGATGATTAGGCGGTTTATAGTAAATCTGCTTTAGATTTCGTCAATGTCTTTTTTCCTTTAGAAGACATCAAAAAAGTTAAAATGGCCTTTTAATAACAATGCGTTGCATTATGTGTGTCTTATTTTGAGCATGTACTGCAAGTACCAGTGAGACTAACTGTGGGTGCAGCAGGGGGGTCGGGCTTGATGACCTATTGGAAGAAGATTCTAATCTGACGCAGGGAGTTCTATACTCTCCTGCGGCCATCCTCTTCTTCACTGTAAAAGCATGGCCTTTGGAGACTAAAGCTCCCTGCGAGAGTTGGTTGAAAATTTTCTGTCAAAAGGAAAATTTTCACAGAAAAATTTAATTTTCTAAAATTTTTCAGTTTTCAAAAACTAAAAATTCAGAAAAACTGGAAATTTTCTCCCCTGAAATTTTGTTAAAAATGAAAATTTGTAATTGCTTTTGGAGTTTTTAAAGAAAATTCTTGTTGTTTTCCAGCTCTTCCATTATGCAGTATACTGTTGCGTTTTCTTGATCCTAAGGAAGGCTGTTTGGATTGAAATAGAGCAATGCATTCTGGAACCTGTGACTTTGCCTCTGTTATATCTGTTCCCTTTTATGCAATGTAATTGTGACCTTTGGGCTCTCAGCACCTTCCTGATGTGGTTTTTAGTTGGATGAAGTTTGGTTTGGCCTAATAGATTTCTCCTAGCTCCAGTCTCACCTTTTTCAAGCAGATGTTAAAAACAGATGGAGAATCTACAGCCAGTATATGAGGTGGCTTTATAAGGCCTGGTCTACACTACATAGTTAGGTTGCCATAAGCTGCCTTGCGTTGACCTACCTGTGGAAGTGTCTTCACTTACATTTGACTCCTGACGATGTCAGTGCCTCTCTAAGCCGATTTAGTAACTCCACCTCCCCGAGCAGTGTAGAGACATGGTCAAAGTAATTAGGACGATGCAGTGTCAGTGTAGACGCTGTGTTACTTACATTCACTGTTACTGGCCTCCAGGAGCCATCCCACACTGCCTCACACGCTGACACTATAATTGATACAAGTGTTCATGGTGAGGACATGCATTGCTGACATAAGGAGACAAATGTGGACATATACAAGTGATTTAATAACTGTGGTAGCCATATGCCGACATAAGTTAAGTCGTCATAATTCTGTAGTGTAGACATGGCCTAAAACTGGAATTGAGACTGTGTGACTGACAGGGACTTCAAATCCACTGCCTTTATTCACCCATTAAAAACAACAGAACAAAACACGATTGCTTAATTATTAACACTATCTAACACGTTATCTGTGTGATTTCCCTTTCTGAACATAACAGCAATTGTGATTCTCTGCATTGTATCCCAAAATGCAATACAATTTACTCTCCCTGTGTTTAAAAGTGACTGATGGCCAGGTGTGACTCTGACTGCAGCTGCTTCGAGCTACTGCTGATTTAAGATTTTTTTTGTGCCAGAAAAAAATGAGTCCCGCGACGTCTTGTCTTTAACCTCAGTGAGAGCTGCATAATTTTGGGTTATGCTATGATCATTCTTTTAAATTATTGAAATAAAGTTTCAGTTGCCCAGAAAGCACTGGAGTCAAACTTTATCATGGTTTATATTGCTCCTGTAGGAGGCATTCCGTTGACAAGGTTTGCCGCATATGGTGCATCAAAAGCAGCTCTGTCCATGTTTTCTGGAGTAATGAGGCAGGAGCTTGCCAAATGGGGAATTAAAGTTGCTGCAGTTCATCCAGGAGGCTTCAGAACATGTAGGTATTTGACATTTCAGCTAGTTCTCCTTCTTCCTTCAGATTATTCCCTATAGACCCACATCCTCAAGTAAAAGTCGTGAATGATTCTCAGCAGTCACAGTTACTTCCTATCCTTCACTTCCATTACTCAAATTAAGATCCAGCTTTCTTAAGGGAATTAAAAATACCCCACCAACCTCCTCCTACATAGGTAGTGAGTGATTTTTTGCTTCCAAGCAGCCAACCCTTAGGCAATGATCTTTATCAAGGGATGATTGAAAACCTTAGTTTGCCTTTCCCGATTAATAGAATGTAGTGAATGACTAGCAGTGGCACGTCTAAGTGTTTGTCAGTCATTCCTGATGGGGGAGGCAATCATTTCTTCTCTTTGCTTTTACCTATCTTGCCAAAAATAAAAAGCAGACTTCGGTGTGGGTTTGACTTGATTAAGCAAGTCACAAGAACTAATTAAGAACTTCAAATCTGGCCAATAATAGGTACAATTTCATGCTACACAGTGATCTAATTCTCTTTATCAAACGGTTTTCCTGTGTAATGGGTTCCATCTGCATAATGGGAGTCCTGGTGCATTGTTTCAAGGTGCTACTCATTTTTACTATGTAACTGAGGCTCCTATCTTTTTAATCTCCCCTGCCCACATTTCAGTAGCTCTTTCAACTCTAAATCCTTCTTCTCTCCACGCTGTTAGAGAAGAAAACCAGAATTCCTTTCCATGTCACAAAAGTTGCAAGTCACAGAAGAGATTTCAGCCATTCAGTGGAGACCAAAGTAGTGGTATCTAGCTAGCTAGCTTAAGTACTTGGAGAATGGGCCCTACAGAACACAGTTGAGGGCCTGTAGAAGGGCATTATGAGGACCCCGCATTCCCAGTCTCTGTGGATGTGCTTGTTCTGGTGATGAAAATGGAAGGGGTGAGTTTCCAGTGCTATCTATCCAGCATCTTTTATTAGAGTAAAAAATTGTGTTTACAAAGACATTAAAAAGCAAAGAGAATTTTCTTTATCTGTAAACCCCCATTACACGTTCCATGGAAAATAACTTGGAATGGCCTTACTGAGAAAGTGTTTCTTAAGGGACAGGGCTCTAAAATTTCCTGGCTGTTCCTCTGTGTTTAGATATGGTTTACGTTAGCAAAGTACAAGCTTGATAGCAAAGACGAAAAAGGAGTGAAGTCCCTCAATCCATATGTTAGAGTAGGCTGTCCTGTCCTGTTCTAGCTGAAACTTAGCAATACTTTTGTTATATTTTTAAGAACTTCAGGCTTACCATCAAATAACAAAACTTTTAATGAAGTTTAGATGTGCAGAACAAGATAGGGAGGAAAAAAGACCCAATGTACTTATTTACCAGTTGAATTGGATTGTCAAGTTAATGTACAAAAGCCCAGGTACTTTACTTTGTTATTCCAGGCATACAAGGTACATCTGAGCTGTGGGCTAAGCAAGAAAAGCATCTTCTGGAGAATCTCACACCAGACGTGAAGAAAGATTATGGTGAAGACTACATTGAAGCACTGAAAAATTTCCTCCTGCACATGCCAGTTCATTGTGCTTCTGACCTCTCTCCAGTACTAGATGATGTTCTCCATGCTTTATCGGCAAAGAGTCCACATGGTTTATACACTCCAGGCAAAAGTTCTTACCTAGCTCTATGTATCTTTTGCTATTTTCCTCTCTGGCTTTACGATTTGTTCATTGGTAAGATGCAAAGTAACAAAAGTGTACCCAGCGCTTTAAGGGCATCGGAGGCCAAAAACAAGAACACGTAAGCAGAGTATGGAATTCCGTCAGCATTTTAAATTACACCGGGAGAACAGGGCAAGGTTTTGTGTGAAGACACCGTTTGCTACATTGCAATTTATTGGGGCCCTTTGCTCGTCAAATTGCATTCCAGCTGCTGGGCAATTGGGGCTGAGGTTAATCTTGAAGCTTTGTGTATTTTAGGCCTTGTCTACACTACGGGGGGAGATTGATCTAAATTATGCAACTTCAGCTATGTGAATAATGTAGCTGAAGTTGACGTACTTAGATCTACTTATCGCGGGGTCCACACTATGCGATGTTGACTGCACTTGCTGAGGACTAGCTTCTTGGCAAGTTTTAAAAATAACTTCATTTTATTTGAGTGCCAAAAAAAGTTATTTTGTTTAAGTACTTGGGGATCAAATGCTTCTCATATATGGGATAACTCAATCATGGTCAAATTAAATTTTACTTTAAAACATTCTCTCTTTGGGTTCAGAACATGTATGACAAATTTTGGCCCCCTCAAGGGTAATTTTTCTGAAAAAGTTTTCGGGGCTTAAAAATTAAAGTAGAAATGTTGTTTCCCCATCAGGACTTAAAAACACCTTCAACATTTGTACGTGTTCACTGGCAAGTGAGATTTTTGATTTTCAAAAGACTCTGTGTCTGTGTGACGCTGATTTTCAGTGAACAAAGCCAAGTAATGAAGCAAGAATAACAACTTTTGGAGCCAAGGCTGTTTTTAGCAGGCCTATATGATAACCTGATAAGTGCTTCCTTGATGCATGGATTTTCAAAAGACAATAAATGACCTGAGAGTGTAAGTCCTACTGAAAGTCCAACATGTGACCAAGGGCCAGATTTTTAAAGGTATTTAGGTGCCTGGTCAGATTGTCAAAATCGTCTCAGCGTGCAACACTCAATTAAATCAATGAGTTTTAGGCAACTAGATATTTTGGAAAAAAAAACCCTGGGCACCTAAATACCTTTTAAAAAACCTGCTGCTACATCACTTAGAAGCACAAATCCTGTTGAAAATCAAACATGTGACTGTTATTCATGGGAAAAATCAATTGGCTTTGTGATCCTAAATTATTTGATTACCTAACACACTAGGAACAGTAGCACAAAAATCAGTTAGGCTCTTTCAAAACTCCCATGCACCAACAATAAGTAGCTTCCAGCCTATCACATAAGCCTTCTAAACACAGCCCTAATTACAATAGTTTTTACTCTTGCCCTATTACTTGACTTTATTCATACACACATTTAATCTCAGGTTTGCACTTGTGATACATGGTATTATTTATTTGCATAGCACGGGTGGTGTGCTACGTGTTTTACAGATAGGCCTAAAGATTTTATTTCCGCCTGAAGGACCAAAAATAGCTGGGTGGGATAGATGGCCCTTGGAGCAGATTTTGGTGTTGTGTAGTGAAGCAAACTGGACAGGGTTATACTTGACATTGTTGATAAACACATGACTCTGGAGCTGCCTGTACCATCAACATCACATTCTCATGAAGGTGACCCAAGTAAAAAAAATGACAGACAGGGGGAAATGGTGGGAGAGGGGGAGGGAGGAATTAAAAATTTTATTAAGATGATGATAAAAAAAAAAAGTAGTGAACAGAGTTTGAGCATAGAAGTTTCTGGTTATCAGGGAATAACATACAGCTTATCGAGGGTGCAAAGTTTGGCTTAAGATCAGGTGGCATGAGGAATACATAATCTGCAATATCCCCGATTGGGGGTAAAAGGTTGATGGGTCAAAGTACAGACATTGAGATATGAGGGTATGAAGTTCATAGAGTGGTTGTGTTCGGGTGTGGAGTATAATGAGTGGATATGATGATGAGGATGGATTGACCCTCATTTGGTGAGATTTAATGTTTAGGGAGTTTATGGTTCCAGTTCATATGATCCAGCGGAGAAGGTCACTTGGTCCCTTTCTCTTCTTGCCTACCTAATCTCATTGTTAATGTGGTGACAAACACCAAGCAAAGGAAGCAGCGATACCTAAAGGGATCATGGTTTGATCCATTGATCAAACATACGGTTTGATCCATTGAAGCCAACATGAAGATGTCAATTGGTCTCAGTGGACTTTGGATTAGGCTCATTTCTGTCACAACAGAAAGATATAACTACATCAAATACATAGCCCAGTCGGTGCTTGTTTTAGAAATTTGTCTTCTTCCCAGACACTTGGGTCAGAAAGGTGTGAATTCAGCCTGATTTCTCTTACAGTTCCCTGCTTTGCAACTGATTGGTAATCACTGAACTTCCACATTTAGGTTGACTCTGTCATTAGAGCTGTTTCCAACATACTCTCTATGTAGCTGGCCCTTTAAACAACCATTTGCACCCTTAAGATGATCATTTTGGTTGTGTAAGTTACAACACCCTTCCTTTGAGTATTCAGACATGGACAAGGCCTAACAGCCAAACTTTGTGCAGCTCCAAGTGATGGACAAACAAATGAGTAACTGATTAATCATATAATGCTAGTAAAAGAGAAATGAGAATTAGAATTACCAAGTGCCCCAGACAACCTTCAACTGGCTCACGCCACCACGTCCTCACCTTTGTGGAGCAAATAACAACAGCGAATAGTCACGCAATTCATTTACACACAATGATCACTAGCAGAATCAATCTCTACTGGCACGAGATATCCACATGACCTGGAACTGACATTTTTCTGGTTACTCATGCATGGGAGCTTGCAAATAACTTCAGGGCACAGTTTGATGAAAAGCCAACCTACACTGTGAATATCTATAAATGTCTGAATATTCTTCAGAGCAATATGACTGACACCTGTGCAAAATGTGATAGCTGCTAGGACTAGTATCTTGACCACACTGTGACTCTCAAAAGCGAGCTCTGTGATTAAGATGTGGCTAGGCAAAAACAGATAGAATATAAGACAGGAAACCAATACAGGGAGCTTGACTCTCCCAATTGCAAGATTGCTTGGAGGAAAAATTTGTAAAAGAACCAAAATGTAAGTAACAACATACCATACTATGCTTTTGACTTTCCAGGGAAGTCTATCATAGCTACACCCAACGCTATGGGTGAAATCCTGCCGCCACTGAATTCACAAGCTCCCATTGACTTCAATAGTGTCATGATTTCACCCAGGGTCTGTGTATAGAGAAACTCATCTGGCTGTCTGCCCTCTACTTGTTTACAAATGGTTTATTACACTAATTTCCAACTATTAGGATAACAATGGTCTGTTAACACTTCTGCCTTACTGCCTGTTCACATCCTTAAGCTATATATATATATAATTACACTCTGTGGATGCAACTGTTTACTCAGTTGGGTAGTGTCCTGAAACCATTCAGTTGAAACACCTGACTAATTACTGAAATAAGACTCCTGGGAAACCTGCAGCCCTAAAGACACTGCCTGGAACTGGTAAAAGAAGCTCGGTGGCCTTTCTTGTGTTGCTTCCATACCAGCGAGAGCCAGGCGCATTCGAACCAGAATGGTCCTGTTAATTTTTGCTGATACTTAACCAGTTCCACTGACTCAAGCTGGTTCTAACAAACACCCAAATACGCAGTATGTCTGCATGACAACAGTGTAAATGCTTGGATTTCAAAATGACTGAGCTTTGGAGCCTATCAAAGGAACAGTGAATTACGAAGAATGCCGAGGCCCTTGCTCGTGTCTGTTATAGTTTAAACCGGATTAATGTGGAAGTGGCCTTGGGTCAGTGCAGGTCTGCTGATCTCCAGCAGCTCAGGGTCTGCCCCTCACAGTCTTGTCCACGGTTGGAAAGCAGCTTCAGGGCAAACTCCTGGCCTCATTGAAGGCAATAGAAAAAACATCCATGGCTTCAGAGGGGCCAGGATGTCACCCTCAATCATAGAATCATAGAAATGTGTGACTGAAATGGAGCTCCAATGGGCCGCTACTTCAACCCCCCTGCTCTGAGGAAAGACCAGGTAAACCTAGGCATCCCTGACTGGCAGAGACAGATTAAGGGGACCTAGGCCAGAGCAAGTGTGGGGGGGAGCCCTCCCCATCTCTTCTGCTTGTGGTCCCACTCCCGTTCCACCCCTTCCGCCTGCAGCCCTGCCCACAGCCCCACCCCTTTATGCCTCTTCCCCAGGAACCTGCTCCTGCTCCACCCAGAGTCCCCCCATTCCGCCCCACCCCACTGCACCTGCACAACCTGTTTGCTCCTTTCTGCCCCCACCCCCTTGCAGCCCCAAGACCGGACTACACAGAGGAGAAAGAGCTCCTCCAGTCCCAGGGCCACAGCGGCGGTCCAGGTACTGGGGCTTCTCCTGCTCTGCCTGCCCGGCGCTTCTGCCGGGGATGGGGTCGGGCGTGGGGGCGTCCTCTGCCACCCCGCGGCTTCTGCTGCGAACGAGGTTGAGACACTGGCAGGGTTGGGGGCCGTTGGGAGCTTCCCCTCACCCCAGGGCTTCTGCTGGGGACAGGGTTGGGGGGCACTGAGGGGGCTTCCCTGTCCTGCAGCATCTGCTGGGACAAGGTTGGGGGCTGCTGGGGGGGGGCTTCCCAGGGTGGGGGTATGCTGGGGGAGCTTTCCCTGCCACCTTGCAGCTTCTGCCAGGGACGGGGTCAGGGGCCACTGAAGGGGGGACTTCCCCCATCCCACGGCTTCTGCCCCATCCCACAGTTGGGGGGTAGCAGGGGGGGGCTCCCCCTGTCACACAACTTCTGATGGGGGTCAGGGCACGAGCATTTCCCCTGCCCCAGCTGCTGGGGCTCTGGGCTTCTGCCACCCGGTGGCGGATTTTTTTCCAGGGTCCCCAAGTTGGCCGGGGCCTCAGCCAGTTGCCCCAGTGATTAATCCACCACTGCTGACCCATGTTTGTCCAACCTGTTCTTGAAAAATCTCCAATGATGGGGATTCCACAACCTCCCTTAGGAAGCTGTTCCAGTGTTTAACTTTCCTTTATCGTTATACAGCTTCTAGGTTAATATCTAACCTAAATCTCTCTTGTTGCAGCTTAAGCTGCTTACTACTTGTCCTATGGTCAGTGGATATGGAGACCAATTGGTCTTTGTCCTCTTTATAAAAGCCCTTAACATGTCTGAAGAATTATCAGGGTCTCCCTGAGTCTTCTTTTCTCAAGACTAAACACGCCCAGTTTTTTTTAATCTCTCCTCATAGGTCAGGTTTTTTCGAAACCTTTAATCATTTTGTGCCGCTCCTCTGGACTCGCTCCAATTTGGCCACATCTTAACGTGTGGACCCTAGGACTGGAC